TACTACCATTTTGAAAATGTGACTGCCCAAGATGGCAAACAAGCCATGTGACTGTCCCCATATTGATGATGTCATCAACCAAGATGGAGACCAGGTCACATGGTTGCCTCCTCCTTGGTGAGGTCACCAGCCATGATGGCAACCAAGTCACATAGCTACCTTCCTTAGTGAGTTCAACTCCATGATAAAATAAGCCCTTAATCCACCAGGATACAAACCCTGTGGGATTCACATATCTCATAGGTTAAATGTGAGTAGCAGCCCTTTTTACTTTCAGGAAGCACCCAGTTATGGCATATTGCTATAGAAAGAGAAATTACCCTCAGATATGTAGCCCCTAATAGGAAAGCAAAGCAAAAGAATTCATGGTCTCAAACCACAGAAGGAAGTCCATGTCTCTCACCAGCCATTGCAACTATGCCATTGCTGGAAAAGAAACACGTGAAGGCAGCAGATTGAAAAAAAAAGGGGGGGGGAAACTATGTCCCGTGTACACATCCTTGGTCTGTTGCTTTGAGAGCACACGTCTCACCAGAACATGGAGTGTGACTCTCCTTGTTCACTGGGACCACATGGCCTAAACACTGCTTGGTGCACAACAGAGACTGAGGTCCAAATTCCAGGCCCCTCGTACTGTTCTCCTTTCAGCCACCCAGGGAGAGAACCATGGTGGAGGAAAAAAAAACAAAACCCAAAGCCTGAGGAAAGGTTCAGGAAAGAAATGGCTTTTACCCGCCCCCCCCCTTTTTTTTTCTTTTGTCTGAGAGGCAAGCATTTTGCAGTCTAAAATGCCCTGAGGCAAGATGATGAAGTCACCAGCTTAGAAGCCAAATTGAGCACACCTGTAGAAATTCCATATGGCCATCAAATAAATAAGTTATTAGAATTTTGGGGTCCTTAGTGGTCGCCAAGATGGTACGGAGAGAAAGAGCATTCCCCAGAAGGTTCTCATTCTCATTTATAAAAGAATTTAAGAATGGACCCAAATAGAAGCTTTAGGACAAAGCCATAAGGTCATGCAGCTTTAGAGCCTGCACAGAGGTCACACAGCAGACTGGCAGCCACATGGAGGGGAGAAGAAAGCTTTAAAGAAAAGTAAATAAGTACAAGATGTTAGGGAAGCCTAAAGTGTTAAAGAAAGCATGTTCAGAAAAGGGATATGAAGGAGGAGAGAAATTACACTTCTCTGAAGAATTTGGAAAAGTGGAAAGACTTACAGAGACCTACATGTCTGTAGCGGCTGGGTCCAGACATAGAACAAGGGTTACAGGAGGAGGAGAGAGGGGTTGGACCATTTTGCCTGTGCAGGGAACCCATAACTAGTTGGAGGGAGGAAAGACAGCCTTGAGTAAAGGATGGAAACAAAAGAGACCTAAAATTGGATTGAAAATAACAGTATCAGTCAGAGATTAGTGAAGGAGAAAGAGAGACACTGGAAGAGGACAAAGAGAGAAAGCAAGATGGAAGGCAGGAGTAGGTGGAGGACAAGTACAGAGTGGGAGGCCACCAGAGCTTCCGAGTCACCTTAACTTGTAGACCAGTGAGAGTATGAAGCATGAGTATGAACCTTCCAAACCCAGGGCGAAGAAGGCAGGAGGGAGGGGTCCCATGGGGCCCAGTCATAGATAATATGTCATAGACAATATGAAGCAGAGAACCTTCCAAGCCCAGGATGAGGAAGGGGAAAGAGGGGGAGGTTGAGGACAAGGGCCCAGTGGCACACGCTCAGAGCTTCTGAGCTGCCTAGATCCTTAGAGTGAGGAGAGAGCTCTGTGAGAGAGTTCCTTCTGAGTCCAGGAGGAAGAAGGGGAGGGTGAGGTCTTCCCAGAGAAGCGGCAGTCGTGAGAGGCATCCCTGTCACAATGCATCCAGAGTGATAAAAGAGCTCAAGTCGCTTGTCACAGTGTCCCAAGGACAAGTGATGGGTGCCCCCAGCCAGGTGTGGGAAGATGTTTGGCATACTGGTATGACTTGAAACAGTTGAACATCTCTGGAGAGTAGGGAAGACCTCCAGTCAGGAAGGTAGGTAGAGGAAGGAGGGAGAGTGAGAGATGGAGAGGAGAGGGATGGGGAAGAGAGAGAGAGAAAGAAGGCAGAGAAATAGACCTGCAGCTCCACAGGAGAGCACTTACCAGAACTCTGTCAGAGGGTGAGTGGGACAGAGGAAAACAGATGGATTCATAATCTTGGGCCTGATGTGGTGAGTGGTGGGAGCCAGCATAGGCAAGATGGTCCCTATCGCAGGCAAGAGTGTCTGATCAGCACTTTGGTAAGAGGAGGAAGCAGGTCATAAGAAGCCCAGACATTCCTCCCAGGTTTTGGCACCATGTATGTATGGAAGCAGGCAGCAAGGACCACCAACCAAGATAACTCCATGGGAAACAGTTTATTTGAGAGCAAACAGACCACTGGGCTGCCTCTGGGGAGCAGAGAAACAGCAACCAGTAGGGGAAGTAGGATATCTTTTATAGGCAGTTAGGTGACTGGGTAACTTTCCATGACGTAGGCTGGGCAGTTTAGTTCAGGATTGGTTGGTCTCCTGATAAGCAGAGAGACTTTCCAGGGCCTAAGCCTGGACCCACCATTTTAGAATATTGGGAGCTTCACCACCATTTTAGGAGTCTGCCAGGAACCTAACACCGGTCTCCGCCTAAATCCACATTGAGAAACAGAACTTTCCTTAGTCTCACTTTTCTTTACAATACTTTTTCACCAGATGACCTGTTGTCTATTTTTCTTTCTACTCAGAATGAAAATGTCATGAAAGTAAGAACATTGCCTGCATCCCAATTCAGGCCTAGAATAAAGTTGGCACTCAAAGCAATTATGTCACCTGACTGAGTGACTAAATGAATATATAATGTACCTAGCATCTAGTAGGAAGTGAAGAAATATTATCTCTTTTTTTTTTCCTGTCAAGGAAAAGAAAGTTGAAGGAATGACTTATACAAATGGACATAATCTGGACTAATGACTTTTAATTAACCCCAGAAAAACCATGTGCTCTTGTAGCCTGTGACCTGGGCACTTGATCCCAACCTCAATCTGGCAACTTTGGCAACCTCAATTTGGTACTGCACTCAAAAAGATAATGAATGAATGTGGGTATCTTGAGAATTAACATAGTGCTGAAAGACTGGGCGCCCTTCTTCATTCTGCACAGTGAAGACTGGGAAGTACATGTGACCTTGGGTGAATGAGATATTATTGAATTAGGGATGAAAAGACAGGATGGTCCATTAAGATAAGGGTGGAACCAAAATTGATGCTGGAGAAATAAACCATTTTTAATATAATATGGGTGGGGTTTGACTCAAGGACACTGATCCAGAGAGATAGATGGTTCCAAGAGACATCTGGGGGGGGGTAGGATTAAGTGTCCTCCAAGTTCCAGCCCACTCTTAAAAGCTAAGAGGGTTTCGGCTCTGGTAATTGTAATGCTGGTGAAGTAACACTGAAGAAAGTGATCTTTAGGAAATGCCACTATTCCCCATAATAGAAGAAACAATGGAAACAGATATAGAATCGGAAAAACAGCAAAGCAGCTTGAAATAGTGACATTAGAGTTGTAACAAGGGAGTGGTATACTACACCAAACATAGAGTAGTCAAGGTCAGGATCAGAGAAGAAGTGGCAAGATTGGTGAAACAGCCCCATCACAAAACGTAAGCGCGGGAACACTAATCCCTGGGGTGACTCTATTTGGAGACAGAGTCCTTAGGAGGTAATTGAGGACAGAAAGGTTGGGTGTTAATTTAATAGGATTAGTGTTTAAGAAGACATACTAAGAAGCTCAGTATCTAACTGCCACTGGCCAAAGAGGCTGAAAGCCCTCACGAGAGCCCTTCTTGAAGCTGGGCCTGGTGCCACAGGTCTGTAATCTAGCTCTGGAAATCCTGCTCTGCCGAGGCACGAGGATCTCAAGTCCAAGGTCAGCAAGTCAATAAGACCCTATCTCAAAATAAGATATACAATAAAGGTTGTTGATACAGTTCAGTGGGAGGGAGGGCGCTTGCTGCACCTGTGGAAAGCAGAGTTCAATCACTAGTACTGCAAGAAAATAGAGGGGCCATTTTTTGACAGAACTCTGAGTGTATGCTTCTCAGACTCTAGAATTCTGAAAAGTAATACATTTTTGTTGTCTAAAGCAGGGAGCCTGAAGCAGCCTCATGCAGCAGGAGAGGAGTTAGTGGGAAGCCACAGGCCAGATTACAACAAATTTTGTTACAGTAGCCTGAGTGCCTCCTTAGATTAATAAAACTAGATGTCCAGAATACATTACTGAAAATTTATACAGAAAATTTACTATTAATTTAAAAAATCTGGATTTTTTTTTTCAAATTTTGTTCCTAAGAAAATCTGAACAGCAAAACCCAAATCACAATTATACAATTATAAAGAAAAAGCCACAAGTGTGTGAAGACTATTTGTTAGGAAAAAATCCACTTAATGCAGAGAAGTAACATGACAGTCATAAATTTCAATGTGTGTGTAACAGTGTTTTCTTTTTCATGAGTAATCATCTGACATGGAGTACAATTGTGTTACTAAGGGGTTAAACAGAAAGATCAGTAGAGCTGTATGAATACAGGTTGTTATTTTCAAAAGAGCAACGTTCTCAATCTTTGCTTCATTTTTTTGCTAAGATTTTTCTTAAACGTTAGGAACACCAGCATCATTCGTCATAAAATGCCGGTTGGAGCTTTATTCTTCGAAGCCGACATGTTACACTACTAGCTCCTTCCCACCAAAGGCTGTTCCAGTGCAGAACCCGGGAAGAGTCTAGAATGCCCCACACATCACATGCTGAAATCCAGGGGGGTCTGTGGAACTAAGGGGCAAAGTCTCAGTTCCACACCTTGTAAAGTCCCCACAACCCTAGAATCTTACTCTCCATGCTTGTGTTTTCATATGACGTTGGACGAGAAAAGGAAAGCCGCCTGCTTAGGATCTTTTCTTCAAATTAAAGTTTAATGAGGACAGTAAAAACCAGTGAACTAAATTGTGGATTCTGAACTTTACGGCCCCGCAGCACAAGCCAAATCTCAGCATCTCAAGGAAATCAACTGGTTCCAGGTCAAAAACCACCTTGTCCCAGTGGGCACGTGGGGCTTTATCGGGTCATCTCTGGCTGCACCAGTGGGTGTGGGTCCCACAGCGCACGGACATCTGTAACCAGGATGATCCGGTACCTTCTCCATCTCGACTTCAAAAACGTCTCACTCCGGCCAGTTGCCTAACAAGCAGCAGCCAAGGTAGCGGCCCTGAGAACACGGGGTTTGTGAGGGGGTCTGTAGAGCCCGTGGGGACCGGGCGGTGCGCTAGTCACCCGTTAGGGCCGATTCGCGTCGCCGCCGTGACCCGTGCGAGTCTCCGTAGGTCCCCCGTGCGGGCCGCCGTAGCAGCGCGCTCCCAAGATGGCCTCCTGGTTCCGCTCACTGTGGCGCCCTCTCTGAGGCCCCGCAGCCGCCGGGTGTACTCTTGCGTTCCCGTGATAGTTCGGCCTCGAGGCCGGGAGCTGAGGGCCGACTACCCTGCGCGCGTCCGGCTCCGAGGCGGGGCGTTCCGCCGTTTCCGGGGATGGGCCCCGCGCCACCCAGCTCCGCCCCCCTCGGGCGGGTGCTCCCCCGCGTCCCCGCCTGCCAGTCCGCCCGGCTGGGCTGGCCGCAGAGCCGGCCTGGGCAGCCGCCCCGGGAGCTCTGAACCCGGAGGCGTCCAGAGGCATTGGCCCGCGACAGGGCCGGGGCGCAGTGGCGGTACCATCATGTTCTCCCTGAAGCCGCCCAGACCCACCTTCAAGTCCTATCTCCTGCCGCCGCCCCAGGTAAACGCTCCGCCTTCCTGGGCTTCCCGGGCACCGCGGGGTCGGCTTGGGACCCGGACGCGGCGCGGACCAGCCGACCTCCCGGAGGCTTCACTGGCGCGGGGCAAACTTGTAAAACTCCGCCGCAGCCATTCTCTGCCCGAAGCTCTGCGGTGCGACCGGATCCTGGGAACTTTTGCCGGCTGGATTTCTTTCCTTCGGGCTGGGCGACGGCCCTGCAGCGCCTGCCAGGATGGTTACAGTGCCTGGACACCTAACGCTTACCTGTCCATCGTAAATGTGAACTGCAGAAGCGGCAGAGGCTGTTGTACATTATTTTTTGTCAGGCTCCCAAGTCAATAATGAGCAGATCTTAAAAAGATCTCGCTTTAGAGGCGAAAGAAGTTTAAGTGGGGGGATATAGATATATCGCATGTATCATTGCTTAGAAAATTGCCTTAGTGTCTTATAAGGCGTTGGTATTTGGATTTCGTTTTATTTTGTTCATGTATTTCAGACTGACGATAAGATCAATTCGGAACCGAAGATTAAAAAACTGGAGCCAGTCCTTCTGCCAGGTAAACTTTAGAACCCCAACAGATACTTTAGTAATGTGTTTGGGTCTGGTATTGTACAGAATAGTAGTATGTGGTTAACTTTCCTTTTCTATTTAAGTTTTCTCCAGTTAAAAACCTAAGAACTGAGAGGAAAAAGTTGGTTAGAAACGATTGGTGTTTGTCGCTGAAAGTTTGAAGCGTCATAGAAGACTGTCAAGAGTATAAAGACCTCTTTTGATTTTCTTCTGAAATGTTTTTCTTTCTTTTTTTTTTTGAAGAAATGGTTCATTGTTTGGGTAGTGAAAGTACTTTTCCCCCTACGTATTGCTTGTTACCTAATGAATTCATTGTTAATAATGAAATCATCATTTGAATGTGTTTTGATAATATGAAAAACATGCCTGTGTCTCAAAGCTAATGACGAAGCTTAGTAGTGGACATTGAATTACTTACTTGGCAGTTGTTTTTTGAAGTTGCCAGCTGCCTTTGCAAATTTGCTTGTTTTGATTTAGACCCAGGTTTCCCAGTAGAGGCACTATTGACATTTTAGGCTGAGCTCTCTCTCTCTCTGCGTGTGTGTGTGTGTGTGTGTGTGTGTGTGTGTGTGTGTGCATCCCTGTCTTCCACCTGTTAGATGCCAGTAGCACTGTCTCCTGCTAACTAGCTGTGGCCACCTGACCCCAACCAGAATGTCTCCAGGCAGTGCACATCTCTGTGTTTATACCTCTTAGGGTCATCTTCAGGTCGAGAATCATTATTAAAAACAAATTTTCCTGATAGGATCTTTGAAATAGAAGCAGAGATTCATGGTAGATGAAAGTTTTAGAGTGTAGAAGAAAAAGCATTATTTGATTACTGTTTTGAATTATAATAATTGCATAATAATTAAAGAAAAATCAGTTGGTTAATAGGATTATTGGGTGAAATAGCTAGACATTTAGGAAAGCCTTAAACCTGAAATATGATTAAATGCCAGTTTGTGTGTCTGTATCAGAAACCTCAGAATCTTAGTGAAGTAATTAAAACTTTGTAGGTAGTAACAAAAAATATGGAAACTTTAAAAAGTTATTAAGTAGGGACAAACAATTATAAGCACCAACCTTTGGTTCTGTGTGGTATATGCTAACTCTTAAAGGTTTTTTTAGACTTAATTATGGGAGTTAGCTGTATTTTTCACATTTTCACTTAAATAGCATTCCTTAACGAATCCTTTCTGCTGTCCCTGAGAGCAATAGAAGTACTAAGTAACCCTTGCTCCCTGTGTGTTCTCTTTTAGTCTTTGTGATCCTAATTTAAAAGACAGCAAGGGAAACTCTGCATGTTGAGTCTCTGTGAGCTGTTGAACTTTGCCTTTACTTTGAACTGGCCTTACCTTATTCTCCCTCTCACTGTGCTTTGACACTAAAAACAATGTGGTCTTAGCTATGCTTGCATTTAGTTTTTTAAAATTAACTTAAATTTAAGGCATGCCGAGGAAAAGTGTTAGTGAATGTGAATATGGTTGAAGAATTTTCTTACTGAAGAATTATTCTTTAAAATTTCTAAAAATGGAACTGAAGAGATGGCTCAGCAGTTAAGAGCACTGGCTACTCTTGCAGAGGACCTGGGTTTGATTCCTTGTACCCACATGGCGTCCATAACTCCAGTCCCAGGGGGATCCAATGCCTTTTTTCTAACCTCCACAGGCATTGCATGACACTGGTGCGCCTACCTACATGCAAGCAATACACTCATACACATAAAATAAAAATAATAAATAAAATGTTAAAAAAATAAAATTACTAAAGACAACCAGTCTTGACAAGTCAGTTTTCTGGGGGAAGAGTTTAACCCCAGTTTCTGACTGTGAGTGATTTATTTTTCTGAGAAATAGCAGTGTCTTCTATTTAGTTGCCTATTAAGGAACTCTCTGACCTGTTTTAACTTTTCTGGCATGGAATGTCATGTCACATCTAAAATCTGTACATGCATACATGCATGATAGCTCTGTTACCCAATTCTTTGCTCCTGACTTGTCTTTACAGAACATCGAGCTGATCCTGAATTACAGCATCTTGCCTCCTTTCCGGACCTCTTCTCTTCTTACTTTCTTGTCCTCACCTTCCCACACTCTTCCTGATTATGTTCTGTCTGGCCATCCCATTGTGGTCTCCTTTTCCTCCTTTATACCTGTCAATGTCACATCTGTGACTGCTATTAGAACCTGAGGTTCTGCCCTTCTTTGGTCTAACCTGCTACTCTTTACAGGTAATGTGGAAGACAAGTAGAAAGTATTAGTGATCTAACTACCTAGATTAGAGTGGTTAGCGTTGTAGCTCAGTGGTAGATCATGTACTAGCATTCTTAGCATGCTCAAGGCTCTGGGTTTGTGTGCCCTCTCACTCCACAACAGCCAACCAACCACAAAATCCTAGGCTATGATAATGATAGCAGTCTTACTGAGAGGGCTTGATTAATACAGTTCTGGCCTTCTTTGCAGTCAGAAAGCAAGAAAAAAGTTGGCCAAGTCACCTGTGCCTTTATCCTGGCACACAGAACAAGAAGTGATTGTTCATTGATATAGAATTGCATGCTATGCTTTGGCATACTGCCTTGAGTCCAAGGATATCCTTCTTTAGTTGCCCCAAGTTTGAACTTTTAATTCAATAAGTAGATGAAAATTGGAATACAAAATCAATTGTTTATTTGTGTGCATTTATCATGTGCTCTGTTGGGTCTTAGGAATGCTAAATTTAAAATGATCCCCTTCATTTATTAAGCACGAAAAATTGAAGAAAATGATAACTAATTTAATTTAGATAGTGGTTTATGTTAGTATTTTCAACTGGTTCATGTAACCCTTTGAATTGGGGATTGTAATCCTGATATCTAGCATAGTGCCTGAAATGTGACAAGCACCAAGCTGTTTCTTGTGAATAATGGACAGAATGAAGAACCCCTTAGACCACCTGTTTACACTGTTACCTTAGCCATGCACACATGCAGACAGACCAGCTCCTGTATTTAGGAGCAAGAGGAACACTGCTGTTTCATTCCAGATATCTCGAGAATTGTGTCTGAGCCTGTAATTGTAATAAAGTACACTGTCAGAGTAGTGAACATTAATATGGGTGTTCTCTTTGTCTCTGCATCATATGAATCCTGTTCTTTTAGCGATATATGTGTAAAATCTCCATAATAGTTTTAGTTTTAGAAAATGACTTTAAAATGTGCATGTGTTTCTATATTTATTGATGTATGTGCATTTGTGTTCTAGCATCTTTTCATTATAAGCATGGGATTCCAGACTGTGTTTGTGTGTCTTTGATAGCTGCTGACCTAGTACACTGGTTTGGTGAGCATGTGAGGTCCTCCTCAGGGTCAGGCTCTGTGTAGAAAGGGAAAGTTCCTGAAGTATGGCGAAGCTGCATCATAGCCTGGCCTAGGGTGGGAGGGGTGGTTGGCGGGGGCTCCATGTTGCCTGTGGATAGGTAGAAGACTGTGGACTAAGATCGGTCGCTGATATAGCTTAGAGGTTAATCTTCCCAGCAGCCCTGTCAGATGAGGCACTACTGTATCTTCCTGTGACAGGTGAGAGAACTATAGCTAACTGAGTTGAGTTGGGCAAACTGCCCAAGTGCTGCCCAGCTAGCAGTCAGAGCCGGACTTCTGTACCTGGCTGTCAGGTGTGCCTTTAACCACCGAGCAGCATGGCCTACTTGGCTACAGCAGTGACTTTTCAGGTGAGAGTTAACGGTTTGGAAGTGTTGAGGACAGATTAAATGTCAGTTTAGGGAGAGTTCTCCAGTGAGATATAAAGAACTCTGTCCTTGGCACTGTCTTTTTCATAGATTTTGACCTAGCTTGAGAAAGAACTTGCACACAGTTTTAGGTGCCAGAAAATGGAATGTCTTGAGAAGTAGAGGACTTCGTGTTGCTGGTCTTGCTGAAGTGCTGGCTGGTAGAGTGCCAACAGCTCTGATAGGGATGGAGGTTTGCAGTGAGTGGGGCTCCCTAACCTTTGGTCTCTTTTCTCCTCAGGCAGGATGTTTTTTAAGGATCCCTGAGGTAGGAGGGAGAAGGTTAAAATGCTCTGACTATAATGAATTGCTTTGTTCAGCAGGTATGGAATGCTTGCCCAGTGCTGCTTGGCAGAGGATTAAAAAACAAGTGGGAATCCTTCCCTTAGACAATTTCAATCCATTGGGGAAATGCTGTAGTAGAGGTGAACAAAGGTTGTGAGGGCTCAGGATAGTCACTCTAAGTCAGATTTAGGGTGTGGCAAGGATTGTCAGCAGAGACTTCTCAGGAAATGTTTGTCATCTGAATCTTGAGTGCCTGCTAAGCCTAGGCCACTGTTCTGAAGGCCCTTGTCAGCTCAGTTCCTCTTCCCATCTGTAATGCCAAAAGCACTCCCATTATTGCCATTAACTATTAGCTTGATAATGAATGCCCTGATTGTCAGGTCTTTTGTAATCAGATCAGAGAGGCATACAACCACAGGCCATCTGGAAAATGAAAATAGCCATTGTTGTGTGGATGTCTTATTTATTTTTTACATATTCACTGTCCGGGCCATTTATATACTGCTCTTGTTTTCTACCTCATAAGTATCATTTCATTAGTCAGAATGAGACTAGCTTATAGACAAAACAAGCAAAACTCTTTTTGAGTGGCTCATGTAATGCTCCTTTGAAGACAGGTCACCTCAATGATTGTAGACTGATTTTTGTAGTATTTTAGCCCATAGATACATTCTTTTGAAAGATCAAAGGACTGGTAATATCCCTTGGAACCATGAATAATGTAATCAACTGCAAAACTCTAGCATAAGCCTGTCCTTCACCTGCAGAGCCTTAATGTTTGGAGCCGTCCATCCTTAGGCTTCTGCTGCAGTACCTCAGGCCACTTCCCAACTTCTCCCCATCAATCTCTGTGTAGCTTTCCACTGTGCTTAGAAACTTCATGAACCTCTGTAAATAAAGCCCTCCTTCAACAGGATAAACTCCAAATTCTGTACTTGCTAACACTTGCTCACTGAC